ATTTTGCTTCGATTCATGTACTAAAAACCTATTGGTGGAACATTTCGCATGATACAATATTTGCAAACAAGGATTAGTCTTTCAGTATTTTTCTCAAATGTATAAATACTGTTGAAGATTTTCTTTTCACTTAATACAAAATAAATAAAAAGAAATTTCACACCAGTTGGTCTAGAAGTATATTTATTCATTGGATATAAAATGCTACGATGAAAACCTTTTGATGTGGTTTTCTATTTATTGTTCATACTTCTCTTCAACAAATGAGTAAATGCATTTGTTACTGTCGTGGTACGACATTCTAGGACGTCACTTTTCTCATACCCCCTGCTTGATGGTGTTAGTGGCTACTGAACTGTTTTTTTAATTAACACGTAGATCAGTCAATATTCTGCTAGTCAATGACTGGATTGATCTAATTACATATTTAAATTACGCACGTCCATTGGTGCAAAGGGTAAGAACACTCTTGGCTGGTTGCCCGGCTCATGGCGCAATGCACATACCGCACGTGCTACGATAGTGTCGGGCGGGAAGCAAGGAGTGGAAGTCCCTTTACCTTGTAGAGACTTCATTTAACTTTGTTCGTGTAAGAAAGGTTAATTTTAGATGGTATTAATTGTTTCCCAAAAAGTCACATAGATATACTTCTTGACATACGACATACACTATGTAATGCAATACTGCAAAGTGTAAACTGAATTGCAGGTGGAATTGATAACTGTGCTCCATGTGCTAGATAAATTCGAGCGATATCAATAGAAAGAAAACTCCAAAGAAACCGTAGCATTAAGTTCTCACAGAGGAAACTGTACACGTTTATGCAGTATATATTTCTTGACGTAAACAAGAATTAGTTCAATTTCCTTGTAAATTTCTTTTGTGATGCAAATAATTCATAGATTCTCAAAACCTTTATTAACACACTACGATTGGTATGCCGAACGTAATTGAAATGGTCGTGTGATCATCCAAAAGGGCTAAGGGACTCAGTTGCCGAATTAACGATCAGCAATAACTTTAATTCAGGTTTATAATCTGGCAGTACGACGGGTAACCGAACTCGATATATTTGGCAATGCCGCTCGTGTGTTCTGAAACGTAGGATAAAAATAGTTGACAGTGGTATTATACATTTTGTGTAAATGTTAGATGAAAAACTGCACAATCCTTATTGATAAGCTGCTCGTTTACGCTTCAACTTTCATAGGATGATGCTTATTGATTCAATGTTAAATACAATATCTTTTAATGTTATAATAACAGTGACCCGTAAAAAGGAATGAAGTAATAAGAAATATAAGTAATGCATTAATAAACAGATGAACTTTCCATGGTATGTGCATTGCAAATCAATTCCAGAAAATTCGATATTTATCATAAGCAATATTCTGTATGGAATGACGAGGCCTTGTCCTTTAAATCTGACGACGAATATTAAGAAAGTGAAAAAGAGAAAGACATGAGATTTTTCTTGGTGGGGGGTCTCGTTGACGATAATTTACGTACTGAAGACGGTACTTTATGGATGATGGCATAGATCTGCACATTTTTTCCAGCGTGTTAATTACACTGGAAAAATAAATACTAATTGAATATTTTTCCCTGTTTCAAAATATGTTTTAACAAGGTCTGCAGCTTGTGAACGAGTGACAATTGCATCCCCTTTTTTAATTATTACTTTCCTCTGTGTTCTGGTACCAAAGGAATCGTTTCAATTATTTGGTGGGAGTACGCGTAAGAAATTTATTCGGCAACGTTCTCCTGTCTTCGCAAGCGAACAGTTTCCGAAGTGGCACTGTGCACGGCAGGGCTAATTTGCTCTAATTACAATCTCAGGTTCAGTTACGGCACGCGTCTCTCGATGGCTCCACGCGGCGATGGAAGTTTGCATCCCGTATGCTCGGGGCCTCTTAGCAACTCCCCTCCCCTCCCCTCCCCTGCTGTGCTCACGCGCGTTGTACAAGGAAGGAGGAGAGGGGCAGGGGCGCTGACAACGCCTGCCCCTCCCTCGCACCTCGTTATCCTCACCCGCCCCACTTCTCCTTCCCTTAGGAAGCGAACACAGCGTAGGCACGAATCTCATTCCTATGTACAAGCTCTATCCATTTTCCATCCTTGATCTATTCTCATTGTTTATCCTCGTCACACCGAAACATACACGTTCTCATGTTGTCATTTTTCGCCGTTTTTTCTGTCATTTGTTGTTTCCGTATACTAATGTTTCTTTCCTGGTTCATTTAAAATGTTTTTCTCGACTTTTAATCCGCTTCTTCTCTTTTCGTATTCCGTCCCTTCCCCTTTCAAGACATTCCTGCGTTCCTTCACCCCTCGTTTTGCTCGATCTCCTGCTCCTTCCCCACCTACCTGTTCCACGTTCGCTCGCGCCCTCCCCGTTGTTAGCTTGGCGTCTTAATTAGCATAAAATAATTGCTCGGCGCCGTATATTATCCCGCTTTTATAATAATTTGCGTGTTAATAAGCCATAAATAACGGCGCCAACGGGCTTGGGCGGTTGCAAGCCGCTCCGTGCGCCATGCAAATGGGGGGCGGGCGGATCTTTTCAATAAAGCCCTAACTCCCGTCAGTTGCCGTCTGTTGCGGAAGGGCGTCTAAGCTTGCAGAACGGGAACGCGGTAGAGAGCCCAGCAACGTTAATGGGTGCCAGCAAACGAAGTTTCCTTATCAGTTTTCTGGAACCGTGCTTCCATATTTTGGTAAGATATCCACTATCTTGGTAATTGAATAAAAACTTCTATTGGAATATTGTTAGTCTATCACGTATTTTGCTAGACATACGCTTATAGTTCGAAAAACGTATATTTTCTACGCTCTCATAATTGAATGATTAATGTTTTCTTAGCTTTACTGATTTCCTCCCATATTTTCGCAACTCCTGGCGGTCTTCCCGACCAACTAATGGATATTAATTTATTGTTGAAATATTATTGGCGTTTAATTTTTAATTTTAAATATATTACTAAAAGGTGTTATCAATTGACTAAATGGTGTCAGCGATATTTTTATTTTATATTAGCAGCTTTTGCAGGCTTATTCATCATTTGTCTGAGAGATATGTTTTCGATTACTTTCGGTTTACATTTTGAACTACATTTAATTGAGAAAGTCAGAAAGTTCGTTGCAAATTTACTCCTACTGAGGTCACTCTTAGCGATAGCGGCGCACCTGTGTATTTTTCAATAGAGGGATCAGTATACGTGCAGTGTCCAATCAAATCATGGTTTTCTTATAAATAATATTTATGCTGAATGTAAAAAGGAAGTTACTTGTAACAAAATTAATTGATGTCCAAGTACATTGCAAAATAGAAACGTACATAAAGAAATTCAGAACCTATTTGTGAATAGTATGTGATTACGATTTCTGGGGGCTGAAGCTCCATGAGCCTTATTTGCCCAAATCATTAGGATGCGCCACTGGTTTGTGACAATTGACAAACATTCCATTTGTAAGCAAACATATTTGTGCGTATGCATACACTTGCAAAGTAATCATTAGTTTATCATTTACATTCTTATTTTGAGTAGTTCGTGAACAATTTCTTGAATGCCCAGAACATATGATTGCGGCCCCATCTGATTCTAGCTTTTCATTTGCAGACGGTGCTCATCACTAACAACAACCTCCGTGTTTATTCTTCTCCAGATTTTACCTTCCAAGGGACAATAAATGAGAGCTCGCGCCAACAATGCCTAAGCGCGATCCCGGCATCTCGGGCTGCCCGAGTCTGAGATGACGGCGACGGCGGAATGCCCCATCTCGCTCGGCGCACATCCTGTGTGCACCGGCGTTAATTTGCGTCCCTTCCTGTTTGCGCAGGCGCTGTTCCTTGCTTCTCGCCCCCCACTACCCGCCGGTCTCATTACTCTCTGCCTTCCCGGCTGCCCCTACGGCGCGCAAAATTTGCTGATAAACTGCCCCTGTTTGTTCTCGCGCCTTTTAATTCTGTTGGGCGCCCCCTCTCTCCCTCCTACTCCGCCGTTCTTCCTCTCGCTCAGGAGACGGTGATTAATCGCTGCTCTACGTAGTAAGTCGTTTTGCCGCTTGGCGAGTGGCGCTAGTTTCGCTGGAACACGCTGCGCTCTAGCGAAGACTACACGAACTAGCAACGTCTCTCTTGACAGTCAGCTGTTGGGCCGTGCCCGCGCAAGTGTTCGATGGCAGAGCGGTGAAGGACGAAGTTAATTGGTATCTTCCGAAAAGTGACCTACTTTTGAAGTGTCGCGATGGGAAACGTTCGTGAAGTGTTTGTTGCTAATGCAACCTGTCGAGTCGCATATCATTCCACTTCTTGATGTGAAAGTCTCATGAATGAATGTGTGCTTGTGTCATGTCTTTCTCTTACAGTCGTGATCGAAAAGTATTTCCCCATTTCAGTTCCTGCATGGCTTCTTTTAATTTAACATATGTTTTAAGTTGCATTATTTATTATTTATTTAAATCATTGTTTTAAGCATTTTTAATATCCATTTTCTTATTTTTATTTGTTTTTGTTTGCGGTGCTGTGGCATAAGGGAAAAGTCCGGAAACGTGACAATTTGGTTGGAGTTTTTCAATTCGGGTGAACATATTTTATTCTAAACTCTTTTTTGAGCATCACTATTTATATCGTGGAAGAAAGTAAAATTAGTACAAAGTAAATAAGTAAAGACATAAAAATAGTCTTTTTAAAATTTGGGGTAACTTTTAAACATTTTATTACATCACAATAACAGTTCAGAATAAATAAACATATTATTTCCCTTGAGAGTGATGCATTAGGAAGTTAATTTGGAGACATTTAGATACATCGGTGTACTTCCCACAACAAAATCACTTTTTGAACAATATTTCAAAATTATTTTATGTCCTGAATAATTGAGGAATTGCTACACTGTACGCGTGAGCTTCTGACGTCACAGCCACCGCAGAGCACGTGCTTTTGTTTTATGTTGCTTATACCTCCCACTATTGCTCCCAGATCGCGCCGTGCTTCCCAGGATCTACCACGAACCAGCGATGCTGGCGCTCTGCCTTGGGGACGGTGAGTACGACAATGCATTCTACTGCGCCTGCGCGATGTAAGTCCTTTCCTGTTACTCCCATTTCCATCTTTCTATTCGAAGTTCATCGCAGTGCTTGCAAACACCAACTCTTTCATTTGTCAGAAAGTAAATATTATATAAAACGTCGGATTTTACCACCATAACATTTGAATTGTAAATTATATAAGTTTCTTTCGGGTAAACCAAAATAAATACGTTTTGAAAATGAATCTCTTTACATGTGCGGGGGAAGGGGTTTGCGGATTGTGGTCCGCTTGAAACTTTTGACAGAGGGACCCGGATTTTTTTTTTTAATTTAAAGTCAAAAATAGGTAAAACTGTATATGATGTACTATGGGGAGGTGTGCAATTTGCGAACGTTTTCTCAAGGAAAGCTCAAGCTCTATGATCGCTATCCTAACTCACGCGTATGTTAAGTTCAATTATGACTACGAGCGTTTTGGCAATAATTAATTCAGCAATTACCCCCTCCGTATAATAATAAATGCATTTCCAAAAGCAAATGAGCTTCAGATGATATTATCCCTAAGTGACGGAATCGACTTATTGCCGTCAGAACACGCTCAAGAGAACAGCACTGAGCTCAAGAAAACTTATATGGATAGTGACGCTACAGTTGCGAAGCTAACCTGATAAAAATAAATAATAAAAATCACTTTTAGAACGTAAAGGTACGTTTTCAAAATTGGCAGTGATGACAGGCACACGGATCGGCTCAATTCATCTGTTTGTTACCTTTATTTCTATTTTTAATTACAATATTGCCTTATTGAAATACAGATTTTGAACATGTTCGTCCTTTTACTAGAAAAACTACATTCTTGTTCTGTGGGTAGAAAGCACCTCGTCACGCCAATTTCAAAAATCAAATTCATTTTTCTTGCATAGAAGCACATACTTGTCAGAAATGGATTATAATTGCACTCTTTTATTTCTTTTCTTAAATTATTTAAAATTTATTTTCTAAGCAATGTTACTTGAAATTGTAATTTGCGAGTCAACGAGTTAACTTCGGTGTCCAAACGTATTTACTACATTAAGCGCTTTATGGCATCATGTCATTTTATAAAGTTAATGAAATGATATGAAGCGATTTGAACTACATCTGGAATGAACCAGGTGAAATATCCCGAAATTTTCCAACTATGAAAACCTGGAAATAGTACATTGTGTACTTAATAGTGACGGAGTGACAAAAACCAAAACCATCTGAATCTACTCAGGCGGCCAATTTAGAATCGTTCTGTCCTACGAATCCCCCAAAATCTAAAATCAATGGAACACGTGTAAAAATAGGCGAAATGTCTCGATAAAATGCTGTTAAGTCGGCTTGATCTCTCGTGTACTTCTGCCAAAAAAATAGATTTTAAAAACTGTCATTTTAACCGTTGGTCTGTGTATTTTAAATAGCAGGTCCGACTACTCTCGGTCGATTGCATCTTTTGTCTAACGCAGTTTTTTTGTTTGCCCCTAAAAGTAGATTGTGTATTTGCAAACAATTATTCCGTTTTCCCTCTTCAGTGAACCTCCGTTTTTCCTCTCCTTTCTCCTATGGTACCAATATTTTCATTGCATCAAATTTCGATCACTTCATTTGCATCATTCCATGAAGGTCATCTAGTGTCATACCATGATGTGCCTCGTGCAATATCTTTCTTCTATCTCCTATGGTTCATTTTATTCTATTCAATTGAATATTTCTCGACATAATTTACCCACTTCATGTAATCTTAATCCCATTTTATCCTGCCCTATCTCTTTCCGCTCCACCTCCCCTTGTAGCCTACATGATTCCTGCAGTATCGTGCCTCACATTACATTACAATCCATACCGCTGACCGAATTACCAGCACTTCGCATAGTGAAATGGGCCTTGTGAATGGAACTATGTTCGGGTAAGACTGCATTTTCTTCTACTTCGTCATAAACGTGTTACGCGTGTGTGGTAAAAAGTCTCAAATTGCAGTTTTGGAACTTGTCATTTTAACCGTCGGTTAACAGTTGGTCGTTTAAACAGTAGGTCGGACTACTCTGCGACAATTTTTTTAAGAGTCTAACGCAGTTATTTTTTGCTCCTAAGTATACTATATATTTGCAAACAATTATTCCATTAACTTAGAAAATCCTTCAAGCTAACTTTCGAAGAGAACAGTAAATGTCATGACTTTTCTGTGAATACTGGTTAGTTTAATTTTTCCGCACTCGCCCTATCGTTTAAACCAATTCCAGATGTGCATTAATGAAAAAAGTTGTAATTTTCTCCATTTAGAAGAAAATCTAGTTTTTAAGCAGCATCAGAAATGAAAAGTTATGAACTAAATTAATAAAAACGGGGTTGAGTTTCAAACTGCCATTCAGACGCCGACGTTCGTATTAATGGAAGAATATATTTATCGTTTCTTGAGAAACAGAGGGTTGTGAATAAACACTTATTTTCCACCACATCCCTCACACATGTTCTTCATGAGCCTGGATAACCCTGGGCCGTGCGCGGGGCCCGATGCAATGTGTGTGACGTGTGTGTGTGTGTGTGTTCGCAGGAGCAAGAGCCGCAGCGTGGACCATGGCTTCTCCGCTCCCTTCGACCTGGACTCCCTGCGCAGCAAGGTGGAGGGCCGCTTCGAGAGCGTCGACCGCCTCACGCGAGGTGAGTGCACTCGAAACTGAAACTGAAACTGAAACTGAAACTGATGTGGCTTTCAGTGAAACCTGTCTTTTAATTATCTAGTGTTTCCGGGTGTGTCGACTGCTGTAGTTAGACGTTACATTAGTGTATGGAATATTATAATTCCGATGTGGCGGTGTTTTCTCCCGCCCCCCGCCGCCCGCCGCTAGATAGTGAAGATCGGACTTTGCATTTAGACGTAGGCTTGTGGTATCTCCCTCTCTAGGTATCACAATAAGCTGGGACTGATTTCCCAATATCTGAGGTTACATAATACATGCAAGTGTGAGTGTATGGGGAAAGGCGATAGAATAAGGATGAGGAAGGAAAGGTCTCGTGAGGACACCGAAACTGCCGTCGATTAAGAAGTCACTTCCACAAAGGTCATCTTTTGTACGAAACGGACTGTTTTTTTTAGACGCATATGTAAGTGTTCCCTTTCGAGAGGTCTCCTCTGCTGCCCTGGTAAGCGATCTGGAACAACACACAATTTTGCAATTGGTGATCCGTAGCACTGCAAAGAAGAATGTGCCCATAAGATTGCTGTCGATTCTGGAATGAAATGATCAGATTAAATAGGAGACATGTATTTAGTTGCTAACGCGCGGAAAGACTATTTCGTTTCACATGTAGAGACTGTTTATTCATTCAAGTTCCTTCAGGGTGTGAATTGTACGTTTAGGCTGTTTGGGAATTAAGTCTGAGAATGAAAAGAAATAACCAATGTAGTGGAAAAGAGCCATAACGGCTGTTTCCCCGGAACAAATTGTAACCGCTGACAGCAGGATTCACTGTAGCTTGGTGTGCTTGGTGTGGCATCTTCGATGCGTTAACATTGAGAAGTATTATCTTGTTCTTCTTTTATTTAAGGGTTTTAATTATAGAAATATATGGGTCTGTCCAGTATCCCACCAAGCAAAGGAAACATGTGGAATGATATCTATCTGGTCCAAACGGTGAACTGGAAAGAGTCTAAATAATTTTTCCCACGTTTCGCCTACCCTACTATTCCGTCTTTCCCTATATTATTTTAAATGCGATACTAGTTTTCGAAGGATACCAAAGGAGGTCAGTTCCCAACAAACAGTCCCAGACGCTTTGAATGGTGCGTCCAATGGCGCTCCTGCCCCAAACCGTTGCCTGAAAGGAAGCTATCATGGACAGATCCAGATTTTTTATTACTAGTTCATAAAGATAAAACAATAATTGTACCTTCCTTTTCTCAGGTTTGTCCATTATGAAGTAACGATTAATCTTCTCACGCAAGTAATTTTTTTTCATAAACAGCCTGTGATGGTAAAATCTTAAAATCTCAGATCTATCACCCTCCAAAATTATAGTTGTTACAAAGTAATGCTAAGTTAAATAATGCTCATCATACAATAATCATCAATGGATGTGATTAGAGTCCTGACGGTGGCAGCATTTGCGACTCTAGCTAAATAGCTGCTAGCCGATGATAGCTCGGCGCCGAATCTCACCATCCAGAGAGGGAATATCACCGACACCTCCCGCAAAAAGTTACATTTCTTTCAAAATTTTAGAAAACTTAAGAAAATAAATAAATAAATAAATAAATTCATTAGAACCATAAATTAATTTCATTGTTAGAGTACTCTTCCCCCTTTCCGTGCAATTAGTTAGTAAATACGAGCCATATAGTTACAATGAAATAAGAAAAGGAAAAGTGTTATTTTATAAAATGCGACCCACTGTTTGTAAATATGCGTTTTTGATCCTTTAATACCGGGTAGGATAATGCATTTTGCGAGGAACATCTGAGAAAATATTTAAACTGTTATGACAGCAACTGTGCAGATGGTCTTCTAATTAGCTAAGAGTATAAACTTGTGCAAGATAAACTGCATTTTACGGTGTGATTAAATGATGCAATACGAAAGAAACCTCCCATGAAAGGACACTCCTTTTCAGCTGTGCCAATTCTCAATTTTCGAATCGGGATGACCGCAGATAAAGTAGATCTCCATCCAAGCCTGATTAAAAATTGCATCTGAGATACAGACCAGCTGTTTTCAATAACCCTTCTGAAACGACAGACGAGGGATTTCCTATCTGAGTTAATCCAGCACTATTATAGTATGTTTGTACATATGTTACGATTATAGTGATTATGTTTTATCGGTAGTCATTTTATAAAGAACTTGTGGTGCTACAGAATGGAAGGCTTTCCCGTATTAGTTTTCTATTACCCTTGGTCTCGGTTAGCTACTCAGACTTGCCACTTACTTTTGCCAGCTGCCATCTATCGTCGCTCAAAGTAAATTTTGTTTTTAATTTTACATTTTCGTAATT